GGGGTTATTGTCATGATAACCTGTAAAAAAAAAAGCGAGTTAAATCTTCATTGATTGATGTTGATTAATGAGAAAATGACACTGAATAGTCGTGGTAAAAGTAATAGTCAAAAAAATGTATAAAATTTGTATAATACCCTTGATTAATCAGCCAATTGTGATTTATGTTCAAAGGTCCAAGGCTGTTTTTTTGTTCAGAGGGCTATTTTAAATGCAAAAATCAGGACTAGCGGGTGGAAGTAATTATCGTTAAAATGGCACGGTCTAGCCAATTTTCGGACTGGTCATTCAAAAATAGTCAGTGTTTGTCAAGTCATTGAAAAATAGCTACTATTTTGCTGCAACAGAGATCGGTCCAGCATAATATACTGGAGTTCGGTGCACCTGTGTATGAACTTCCAGCATAAATCAGTATACTTTGCTAGCTCCAGTATAATATACTGGAGACTGGAGCACCGGTGCTCCAAATTCCAGTATATTATGCTGGAGTATTTTTCCGGATTTGGAATAGTGTTTCGTTCAGATTTATCTTTACATGAAAAGTGGCTAAATTTCGATTACTTTTGAAACTATGACTATTTTTAAATGACCGCTTGTAAATCTGGCTATTTTTGAATTTCTCCCGTAATTATCCTCTAAAAAGATTGCAACTCTTACTCAATTTTACATGTCTCAATCAACACGCAGATATAGTTATCAATTTATAATACCAAAAGCTAACACAAAAGCTTTATCCTCATAATCCTACACCTTGTTTAATTATTATATGTCATTTAGTTTTACTTGACCAAATACTTTAAAAATGATCTAAAAGATAATATTACATTAATCATGAAGAAAATATTAAATGAAGCACATATACTCGTGGAAAATATTTTCATAGAAAACATTTTCTTTTATACCAAATGCAATAGCATACATATATGCACGCCTCAAATTATGTTTTATTGCTGATTTCGTAGCAGCTTACAAAGAGAAAATCGGTTAATTTAATATTGCCTTCTACCATTGTCCTAGACAAGAGGGGTTGCTCTGATAACAAGCTACCTCCATTTCCAATCGAGAGGTTGTGAATTTATACTGGGTTGTTGTTGTTGTTGTTTCTACCATTGTCCAAAGTCCAAACAATAAATATTGAAGTAGAAGTATAATTATTTTTTGAATCATTGACACATTACATTCCTTGAATCATGACACAATATGGGGGAACGAAGTGCATTTGACATTTAGTGAAGGGGCAAAGTGTCCTAACGAAATATTAGAGGGAGTCAAATTTTGAATCTCGAAAAATCGTGAACCCCGTAGCTTACAGCTTCCTCTGTGTGATCTCGTAAAAGCGCGGCAAATTAAGAGAGCATCCACATAACACAAAGGAAGGAGCGAGAACTGAAGCAATGGAGGATTCAGGTACAATTCTGTGTCAGATCTCTTCGCTCAAGGATATGCTTGATCAGGTGCTTCCACGCAGTTTTATCTCATTCACTGTGTGTGTGTGTATATATATATATATATATATATACAATTTTGTATTTATCTGTGTGTTTATGTGTGTGATTATATATTTGTGTATGTCTATGTGTGTTTGTGTGTGATAGGTGAATCACATGGTTTAAATTAGCTTATTTTGTTGGAATTTCATTCAGGTGAACGAAGAAATTGAGGCGAACATTCAGGCAACGAGAGAGATTGAATCGCAAATAGTGAAGTGTACGGAAGTTAAAAGCGCTTTGGCTGCTCGAGAATCGGAGCTGATGAGAACTGCATATGCACTGCAATTTGAAATCGATGGATTGATGAGAGTTCATGGTATTTATGTTAAGAGTATAGAGGCTTTGCGTAGCATTTTAATCTGTTTCTTCTTTTTTTGGTAATTCATTTTTTGTGTTCAGCTGTCAAATTACTTGTTTTCTGATTCTTTTTATTTATTTATTTATGCTAATATTACGATCCTCTGATTTACTGCCCCAAATATGAGCCTAAAACTAAATGTAGAACTTCCAATAGTATCGGTTGTTTTGGGTTAAAGCAATACAAGAAACATATACATAAAACTTTTTCTAGGCTGTTTAAGTGGTGGTGAACTGGTGATTGACTTTTATTCTCATTACTTTTCTGTTTTCCTCTGAATTTTTGTCTTTGTTTTTAGCTGATTCAGAGACCTCTCTCAAACATTTGGACGAAAAGATTTGTTGTCTAAGAACAAGGCGCGATGAGATACTTATGAGTATGAATAACAGAAGGTGCTATTCTTAAACTATGTGACACATTATGGGTGGAAATACAAACGACAAGAGTTTATATATCTTTAATAAGGGGCAGCCTCTTTCTGTTGATAAATTCCATATCTCAAGATAACTGTTAGTGAATCTTTAGCATTGACTTTTGCAGGGATGCATTCATGGCGTCGTGCCTGGCTTTTCAAAATGAAGTTTCTGTAAAAGATAATGATGAAGTATGCACTTTGCTAGCAGAGAAAAAGCTGCTACAAAATGAAGTTCGTAGTTTAAACAAGAAAACCAAAGCATTGGAAAGTTCAACAACAGCTTTTGTGGAAGAGGTTCTTGAAGATCTTCAGCAAGCGAAGTCTGGTAACTTTCTCTTCCTGTTAGTTATGTTTCTATATATCTTGGTATCATTTCTGCTTTATTTTTGTTGTATCCTTCATTAGTGATATAATAATGTCAATAGCTCTTATAGCCTTTTCTTTCTTTTTCGTCTGGGCTGCTGTTTTACGTGTGAACAGCTTGAAATATCATTGCTCTATTTATCAACAACTCTGCAAGAACTTTAAATTGTGTATGGTTGGTAAAAGATGCAACAATTGGTGTTTCATTTCAAACCCTTTGGTTGTTCTAAATTGGAATTTGATGTGAATCACAGCTTTAGACGTTGAAATAAGAAGTGGCAATATTGAGAATGAGAAATTGCTCAAAGATATTGATGAAATAAAGAGAACTTTGTCTTCACTTATGTTGGCCAGAACGCAGGAAATGGTAATCCTCTGCTTTTCTTTCAAGCTTTCCGTTTAGTGCCATCTCTGACTCTTTTGTAATTTTGTCCCACATCCTTAGCAGGTGTCCGGAGCTGGTAATGTTTTTTCATCCGCTGACCAGTGATAGCTGTTCTAGTCACTTGTATGCTGAAGTTAGCCATATATGAATCTGTCAACATACAACAACAATAACAAACCCAGTGTAATCCCACAAAGTAAGGTCTGGGGTAGAGTGTACGCAGACCTTATCCCTACCTTGTGAAGGTAGAGAGGCTGTTTCTAATAGACCCCAGCTCAAGAATCTGTCAACAGATCACTTCCAGTTATTCTAAAAGCTTTCAGCTCCAAACTTTCATAGTTAAATGTGACAGAAATAATGCGTTTGACTCGTTACTACTAAATTTTCTACAGTAACACTTTAGTTCTTGTTAAGAGTGTTCAAAGTAAAGCAGGTGAACATTGATTCTCATTGTAGTGTTCTTTAGCACGTATATATATAGGCAATTGTAAACTTTTCTCAGGTGACCATATCGTTAACAACGTTTATCAGCATTCTGCAACACAAGGGTAGTGTGCACTGATCTACTTATTTGTACTGTTCCGCCCCTTTTTCCCCACTCCCTCATCCCATATTCTCAAGATGGTGTCGAGTGCGAGTACAAATTGGAAAGAGGAACACTTGGCTCAGATTGAATCAGAAGTCATGCTTTTGACACCAGGTGAGCTTTACAATCTCAACAGCTGAAGTGCGTTACATTTTTAAATACGAGCCTCCGCCCAAGTGGGGCATTAGAGATTTATCAGGATTGTGGCACTTTGCAATGGGCTTTTTGTTAGCCAGATAAATGAGACTAGTGTTGGATCCGTGGTTATCCTGTATTTGTAAATAATAATTCTGGAAAAAATAAAACGTTATCTTATAAACGTAAATTTAAATGATACAGAAATTAATTCGAGCCCACTGAATTCACAGTGTTTCCTTAAGGAATTTAATCCCCTCCTAGTACCCAAGGTTATAGATTATTTCCTCCCAGGATAGAACGAATTACACACTGGTGTAGCGGTACTTCAAACCCCAGTGTTTCAGCGAACACAAAGTTCGGCAGCAAATCACACTTATGGATGCTTTGTTTGTAGTTAAAAACAATGCAGAATAAGGAGGACAACTAAGAAGTCGAATGGAAATTCGGAGAGGAAGGAATGCAAAGTATAGCCAATGTTGAATTCTTACCGAAGAGAATATCAGATTGCAATTCGTTTTTCCAGTGTATACGCAGTGTATACAGAGTATATATCCAGTATATACAGAGTGTATATCCAGTGTATACAGAGTGTATATTAAGTGTATACAGAGTGTTTCGAGTGTTTTTTCCGATGTTTTATTCTTTCTCTCCAACTTATGCTCTATTTATAGCAGTTATTTGAGAGAAATCCCCCCCCCCCATGGTGCAACAAGTACTATGCTATCATGGAGGAAGCACTTACATGGTGGAATGTACACCTGCTTGGTGGGAGGAGCACTTGCACCATTGTGGGAGGTGCACTAGGCTGCTTATTGCTTAGTGTTGCAACACAATACACGAATTGAAAAACATCCGTTACAAACACGGATTATATCACGTTAATATTCACTATTAACAAATAAATTTGGTCCAAAAAATTAATTAATCGATCGATCATTTGACCAAATCCGAATCTAAATCCAAATCCAAATCTCATTTCTCATTCACTCTAATTTTAAAACTATTTCTATCTTAAACAAAAACTCAACAACTAGTTCTATATATATACTTCAAGAAACTAGTTTTTGGACACGTGCTTCGCGCACGTGTATACCCAACAGCAATCATTATTTAACTTATAGCAAATAATAAAAAATTATTACATAAACTGCATACATTATTCTAAAGTGGTTGAATTTTAAAGCATATTTTATAGCACAAAAAAAGTTAATTATTGTATATCATTTAATCTTTAATTTCTTAACTTTCTTTCTTGAGTGATGTACGTAATTGGAAGTAATTTTAATTGTCCATAATTTGTTTGTAAACACTATATGAAGAAAAGGAAAGGAAGATTCAACTCTCCGTGCTATGGAAGCTTTTGAAACTTCTTGCTTGAGATTTTCATAAATATTTTAAAAATAATTTCAATTATTTATAATTTCTTTCAGGACCAATCATCTATCGATTGGTAGAAAAACACCAACGCTCTAATTTTGTGATATTCACGGTCATAATAAAACTTATAAAAATTAAAGATCAAAACTTTAATAGAAATGACAAGAGACAAAATTTAAAAATGACTAAACAAAAACAATTGAACCTGCTAAAATATCATTTGATATGCCCTCGAAATACATGAATAACATCCTTTCTGGAGAAACCCACCTTCCATATATCTCATGAACTCCTCTAGCTCACATGTGGTCTTCATCATCCGCGAAGTTTGAAGGTACTGAGAGTTGAAACTATTCTGATTCTAGCATCCATCATATCTACATACTTGTCCAACTCTCAATTTCATCTACTTCATACCATTTTTTATCAATGGAAAGGAAACGTGAAAGAAACTAAAATAAAAATGTAAGATCAAATCAAATCTGCTACCCCAAAAGCGTTCTTGAGGGAAATGAAAATTATTTTGTTGCCTTTATTTAGTTCTCTCTTGGTTGGTGTTCTTTGGGCTTCCCTTGCATATATTATTAAAATAATAGAATTAACCTATATTAATTTACTTAGGTGTAACTCCTCATATTCTATAGATTTATTTAGTAACGAATAGATTGGTTAAATTAATTTGGTTAGTGCATTGGTTAATGAGGGAATAAGTTACAAGAGTTATAGAGAAAATAAAATGTGAAATGTTTAATATGTAAATAATAATTAATGGTGAAAAATCCTGTTGTAACCGAAAAAATAAATAAGCGCTATCGCTTATGTAATAAAGGATTTAAAGGAGGAGAAAAAACTGAATAAAGAAGCAAATAATATATAAAGAAATTGTGAAAATATTAGTAAAAACTGTACAATGACGGCTAAAAGGTGTAAGGCAACACCCCTTATTATTGATTATTTCATTAGGACTGTTTATTTTTTTTACCGGGGCATTAAGTAAAAAATTTTATTTAATGGAAGGTAATTTTAATTTTAGGTTGAGGATAATTTGGTCATTCAATTTTTGGATATTATAGTAAATTAACTTCACCTAAAAGTCTTAATGCTTATAATATAGCATGGTGAGTGGTTGCAGAGATGAGAGTATATATATTATCTATTTGTAATTTAAGTATAAACTGTGCTTAAATAAACTTTATAAAATGACAACACGAGAAAAGCACCTAAATTATAATAGATGAGACGCGCAATCAAGAAATAATCCATTTCTGAAGAAATACATCACAAAATGATTCATAAGATTTAGCTTTTTTCTTTTCTGGTTAATGGAAGTTTGAATGTTGGAAAGAGATACTTTGACTTTTTTTAACCCTTTTTCTTGGTGGAAAAAGAGTAGCATACAAATGTAATACATGAGCAATAGTCTTCTGCATCTTGCTACCATATATGATTAATTGATCTGCCAGATCGTTTTGCTCCCTATAGTCATGTTCCATCAGTGGATCTTCGAGCTATTTCAGTAGGGACATGCACTCATGAATAGCGTTAGACTCATCACCAATAATGACGTCAATTCACAATCAAATTCACCTCGAGACCATAAAATAGTGCTAATAGTTATGCCTGACTGTTGCAATATAATTAAAAGACAGCCCGGTAAACATAAGACATTCCGTGTTCACGCAAGGTCCGGAAAAGAGCCGCACTCCAAGAATATAATGTTGACAACCTACGCTAATCCACGTATTAGTGGCTGCTTGCATGACTCGTAGATTTTGTATTCAATTTGCTTTATAGATTCGAAAACTATGCCGATACCTCATTTCCGGAGTTTCAAGTGAATGCTCTATGAGCCCGTTTGGCTTAGCTGATTTAAGTAGCTTATAAGCATTAGATGTTGAAAAACACTTTTAAGTGGTGAAGCTGATTTAAAAAATAAGCAGTTACGTGTTTGGATAAAAGTGCTAAAATTAATAATAAGCAGTTGAAGAGGGTGTTTGGCTAAGCTTATAAGCTGGTTAAATTGGCTTATAAGTACTTTTTGGCTTATTTATATGTTTGGTAAAATTAAAAGTGCGTATAAGTTAAAAATAAGTCAAAAGTTATAAGTTGGTCTCCCCCAACTTATCAAATTTCAGCTTATAAGCACTTTAGGTTTGACCAAAATATTTACTATTCTATCCCTAAAATAATTCTTTTTAAACAAAACTTTTCGTATACCCAATTCTTCAACTGCTTATTATTGAGGATGCCACTTTAGTTCTAAAGTAATCCAAGATTAAGTGTCCTTGAGTCTGTTAGTATCGAAAATTCGAATATTCAATGGCCTTCATTAAAATTAAAATGATTGTGATTTATGGTTAATCAAATGTTCCAAAAAAAAAAAGACAATACATTCTTGCCAAAGAGGCTATAAACTTCCTAGTTGTTTGAGCCAAACAATGGGCTGATAACCAAATTATGTCCTTTTTTTGAAACAAAACAAAAAGAAGAACCCTAGAAAATAAGTCTCCTATTTATTGCGGAAAGGGGTCCATCGAACCGTTCATCCACCGGCTAATCTTCCGCCCACAGACAGATTAGCACTTCCACCATTGTCAGAGGTAGGAGAAAATCAGGTAGGAGAAAATCTTGCTTTT